TAGGCTCGCAATCTGCAACTGGGATGCTTGCAGCTCCCATACACTGTAGGACAAAAGTCCCAATGAAAATGAGTTGTTTCCTTCGTATTTGAAGTCTTAAGATCAACTTATTATTATTAAGTTCTCTGCCCAGAGAAGTTAATGTCCTTGTTGGCTAACAAACAACTGGTTTGAAAGCAGTGAATTGGACTGTTTAGAATCTAAGGAGGTAATTCAAGGTCAGGACACAGATACAGGATCTTCAGTAAGAACGTTGATTAGACCAAAATGGTCTGTAATTCTATCCCAGCCATGTTCTGCCTCTGAAGAGAAGAAGTTTTGTGGGACAGACAAAGTGAAGTCCTACCACATTGTCATTCATTCATTCATTCATGCTGTAATGCTGATTGAACATCTACTAAGTTCAAGGCATTTTAGGGGAAACAAATGAATCATATAAATTCTGCCTATTAAGGGAAATAAGTCATTTACTGAAATAACTATGAGAGAGGTATCATCATTATCCCCATTTTACAGATTACATTACACAGAAGTGCAGAGGGCTCAAGTAACATGCCAGCTTCACACAAGTGGTAAGTGGCAGAGCTAGGACTCAAGTACAGACATTCTGGGTCCAGAGCCCACACTTAACCATTATAACATACTGCAGCTCTGAGGTCAGTGCAAAGCGAGAAACCTCAGTGGCAGCTCAAAGAAAGGGAAGGGGAAGGGGAGGGGAGGGCTGGCCTTTTAAGAATGAGTAAGATTAGATTTTTGGTACTCTCAACAGTATGAGGGAAAGTAAAAACTGTATGGGAGGCAGTGAACAGTAACATTTATTTGAAGCAAATAAAGAAATAATTTAAAAAAGAAAAAAAAAAGAGGCAAAAGGTTTGTTAGGAGTCAGAATTGACCATAGGTTGTTTATATCGTAGAGAGACCTCAAATGCCAGGAGCTATAGACATCTATGATAGTAATGATATTGTTCTATAATTTCTACATTCTGTGGGATCACCTTTCTTTGGAATGGGCACAAATAGGATCTCTTCCAGTCAGTTGGCCAGGTAGCTGTCCTCCAAATCTCTTGGCATAACTGAGTGAGTGCCTCCAATG